ATTACTTCCTATTATGTTGAGTCACTTCAAACACTTTTGTTAAAATTGTCAGGAAAGTATACGCTACTATTTTAATAAGGAAAGGATATTGCATACAGATTAGTAACTTTCTTTCATTACCATTATTCTCATCATTGATATTGTTGTAGTTGTAATGACGGTGATTTAAAACAGAGTGATAAGACATGCACGTCAAGATTATGCATGAGCCAATTAAAATCTGTGCCACTACTTATATATATACCTACACACATATTTTATATCTGAAGCCAAGCTACTAAACTCTCATTTTCTTACTTCATTGCATTTATAATAAGGTCAAAAGTATGACACTCTTGTTGATATAAATAGTGTCTGTTTTGGAATTAGAAATTAATACAAGGTAGTAAACGGCTACTCAATTCATTCGCATACATATTAAAAATCTTTAGAGAATAATGATGTCTGAACATAAAGCAGTAGTGAAAAATGCCGATATGTCAGATGATATGCAACAAGAGGCTGTTGATTGTGCTGTACAAGCTTTAGAGAAATATAGTGTGGAAAAAGATATAGCAGCATTCATTAAGAAAGAATTTGACAGGAAATACAATCCTACATGGCATTGTATTGTTGGGAGAAATTTCGGAAGGTTAGTAATATTTTGTAACTCGACGTAAATATTTATTCATTATTAATATGTAATCAATGTTATTCACTCACTGTCTATGCCAAGACAGAAATCATTTGAAGTTATAATGTGGAGATTGTAACGGTGTATAAGGAATTATGTAACTTTATTGGAAGTCAATAGTATACATGTAATTGGACAGTATTCATTTAACTATTTTTGCATTTTTTCTTCACATAAACACTTACGTACTTCGATCACCAAAATAAACGGTTCCCAGTTCCGTCGTATACATTATAGGACGAGAAAGGATCACCAACTAAGAGCTTTTAACAGGATTATGTTAGTTTCATTCAATTCATCAAATGATTCTCAAAATCACTGAGAAATAAGAAGCATTATAAAAGTGTAGATGGTAGAGAACAATTTGAACTACACCTAAGAAGAAATCCCTCTCAATGGCATGAAACTTAATATAACATTTAATTTCTCTCTATAAATGAACAGTCTGATTCTGAATGAACATTATGTCTGTCTGATCAATCAGAAGATACTTCCATGTTTAATGTTAAAGTCTTTTATAACTGCATTAATTCAGTCATTGACTCTGATTATAAATAGAATGTCTAATTCAAGGACAGTTTACGTTAAGTTAGTGTAGTTGCAAAACGTTCGATGAAAACACAGATGTCAGTTTGATTGGATGTAGGAATCAAAAGCGTCATCAGTGTTGGATTTAGTAATTCATTCATGAATTGTGCAGTAGCACTTAGAGTACCAATTACAAATCAAACTTAGTTGAATGACAGACAGTTAGATCAAAATAATAAACGATGAAAACCACTAAGCACTAATCAACAGTGACATCTTGATTTCTGATACATCTCAATCCAATCCTCAAGTAATTCAAACTATATATTTTGACGGATCTATAGTCTGATTTTGCAATTCTATGAATACTGAGGAATTTCATGTGCTGAATTGGTGGATTCAAATGAAGTAAGATTTTCTTGTTCTGAAATTTGCTTATATGTTGCTAACTGTTTTCTCAATTCCCTTAATTCATTGCAGTTATGTGACGCATGAAACCAAACATTTCATCTACTTTTATATGGGCAATGTTGCAATTCTTCTATTCAAATCCGGTTAAGTTGGAGGAAACCGAAAATTCAAAAGAAATATCTACAGAAACTTAATCAAACATTATAATACACATCTGATCATTCTGCACGCAACTCAACTCAATCATCTTCACAAACACGATTTTCTCTAGTACTCATCAATTCCCGAATTCATCTTCATAAGAACCAACACAGAATAATATACAGTTTGAATGAAGACCACAAAACAGAACAGAATAAATATTAGTATAACTGAGATTGTGTTTCCACATTGTCTTTTGTACTGGTTGATCCACTATCATATTATTGTCAGTGTGTGCTCTTGTGTGTGGATGTCGAGATGTGTAATCAACAGATTGAGTTTGTTAAGCACTGTCGTGCTCAATTTTATAGTCATAGGCACTCAGATCAATACTCCTTCTTTGAACCATAGCGTCTGAGAGACGTGCCAAGGATTTTCGTGAGTGAGTAATGAACTTAAAGGCACCATGATCTGTAACCATGGTGAATGTGTTCCTGAATAAATATTTGTGAAGTTGTGAAACAGCCCAAAACACAGCTAATGCGACTTGCTCAGTTCGTGAATAACTGAGTTCAGTAACAGTACGTCTGAGTGAAATACAGTCTATTTTCTATATTCTAGCTCAAAAACTACACCAATACATAAAGGTGATGCATCTGTAGTAAGTACAGAATATGCACTAGAAGAGTGAGTTCGAAAAACAGCATCACTACGAAGAAACTTGAATAAACGTCGTAAGCATGACTCTTGTTTCTTATACCATTGAAACGAATTGGATATCAAGATTTGTAATAGACAGTTGACATAACATGAGAAATTAAGAATAAAAATAAATAAAGTATTGAAGAGAACCAATTAGTAAACGTAGTGCTTTCCGAGATAGTGCATTTATCAGTGGAGCTGGTCGCTTCGTCTCTGGTGTAAGACCGTTACCGTCAACTAGGTATCCATGCATTCAAAACTACATACACAAAATGAACACTTATCAGGATTAACGGTAATATCATTTTCACTTAGATGGTGCAGTGCAGTAGTAAGTCTCCGATCACCAGCCACTTTTTCAGAACCATGAATGATATGATCATCATGATGAACATTCACACTCTTGAGATCACTTATTACATTACTCAACACTTCCTGAAATATGACTGGAACACAACTTAAACCAAATGAAAGTAATTTGTAATTGAATAGAGAAATTGTTAATTATTGTCAAAGCAAATGAAAATTGACCTGAGGGGATTTGAAGATAAACATCTTTCAGGCCAACTTTCGAGAATACTTTAGAACCATTAAGCCGATTAAGTACATACTTAGCTTCCACCATCGTGCATGTCTGCCTCAAAAAACTGGAGTTCATCGTTAATCGATAACTACCACTAATTCTAGGGTGCTTCCATCGAAATTCAAAAGCGTAACATTAGGAGTACCCCATGCTAAAGACTGAATCGGTCTAATTATTCATTTCCGTCACAAATCATTCAGTATCCAATGTTTCGCTTCTACAAAACCGTCAGGAATACTTCGTCTTTTAATAAGTACAAGATCACCTACTACTTCAAGTTAAGAATGTTAGATTTTTATCCCTCCACGGCAATGAGCGAAAGCAGCTTGACTTGAAGTTGGTCAGCAAAACTACACTTTGTGGCTTGTATCTTCAGTTCGAGAGAAAAACTTCTTAAAGTTTTAGTTGCTCTGACGAATCATTTACGAACCCAATAATGACGATCCATTTCCAGCAACTAAACGTTTACAAGGTACATATGAAGAGCGATCATCTCTGATAAACAATTCACAGCATCCTAGTCTATGCATCATATGTTCAGTAATCACCAATACTTCTCCAATAGTCCTGACTGTTTTCATATGATTGTATGCCCGTCAGCTGCATACATTTTTCCGACTAAAAATATCGAGTCATGATTGATTAATTCGATTAAGTTCACTCAACCTGGCCGCTCCACCTCACTTGGCTTTCTCCACTACGTTAACACTATTTAAATTTTAGATACAAAAATTCACTCAAATACAATTTCTACACATGATTTCTCACCGATTTTTTTTCCCCATACATTTCGGTTTGGTGATTTCACGGAACTTTTGTTATGACTATAACTATTATCATTATTACTGTAAATTGTTGTATTCAAAGTGTAGTTGGTTCGATTGAGTCAACGTATACATGTTTATAGTATAATCCGTAACTGAAATTAGTCTCAACAACAAAGACATTTTCAATCAACTGTATGTTTCTTCTTGTCTTGTCTTCCTTCAGTCGTTATTTACAAAAAATTAGATAAATTGTATTGATTGAATAAAGGTGAGAAAATCTCTTGAAAACACATGATTACTGTTCCTTTTAGTTAAGTAAATTTGTTTTATTTTAAATTTGATTGAGTATCCATTCTCATGACTTCACAAACAAATCGCATGCTTAAACACAATAGTGTAAGTGAATATGAATTATATGCACCTATAGGAACAATTCGAAAGGCATTGTTGCCTGATGGTATGTCTGATAACAATTGATAATATGATACACAGTTTAATGGATCATAAGGAGCATACATTTTGAATGTCATCTAATCATGCAATCGAGAAACTATACCAACTTAATCTATCTTCAGTGGTTAAATATACATACTTCAGTTCATAAACTGAATGTTCTTCTATTAGATACATATATATATGAATAAACTTCTAATGTCTGTGATAGCTTCATATAGTGAAACGATAAGTAGTTCAGGTTATCTGAAATATTTGGGCGTTGATTCCAATAGGTTGGTTAGTGCTAGATAATTGCATAGAAGTTCCACAACCACAGAATACGTGCATTGTATATATCACCTCTAAAGGTGCGTCAATAAAGAACCAACCTATCAATTCATAATTCTCATTGAAATATTCTCCATGTTATGATTTAACGACTCACACTCATGATCCTCTTCTACAGTTGCTGTGCACTAAATACGACTCGAAAATTACCTAATATTACATATCAACTATCTGTTTCGATAATTGTTTCCTACTAAATATATTCACTAGCAACGAGAAACGATAATGATATTACCCATCCTGAAACACACCTATATGACGAGATATAAAGAGAAAACACTCTCGGTCTTCTGCACAAATAACTGTTTATTTCAATTGTTTACTAATAATGAAGATGTTTCATTTGCGATTTTGAAACACCACCACAGATAAAATTACCACACACAAGAGCACACACTGACAATAATATGATAGTGGATCAACCAGTACAAAAGACAATGTGGAAACACAATCTCAGTTATACTAATATTTATTCTGTTCTGTTTTGTGGTCTTCATTCAAACTGTATATTATTCTGTGTTGGTTCTTATGAAGATGAATTCGGGAATTGATGAGTACTAGAGAAAATCGTGTTTGTGAAGATGATTGAGTTGAGTTGCGTGCAGAATGATCAGATGTGTATTATAATGTTTGATTAAGTTTCTGTAGATATTTCTTTTGAATTTTCGGTTTCCTCCAACTTAACCGGATTTGAATAGAAGAATTGCAACATTGCCCATATAAAAGTAGATGAAATGTTTGGTTTCATGCGTCACATAACTGCAATGAATTAAGGGAATTGAGAAAACAGTTAGCAACATATAAGCAAATTTCAGAACAAGAAAATCTTACTTCATTTGAATCCACCAATTCAGCACATGAAATTCCTCAGTATTCATAGAATTGCAAAATCAGACTATAGATCCGTCAAAATATATAGTTTGAATTACTTGAGGATTGGATTGAGATGTATCAGAAATCAAGATGTCACTGTTGATTAGTGCTTAGTGGTTTTCATCGTTTATTATTTTGATCTAACTGTCTGTCATTCAACTAAGTTTGATTTGTAATTGGTACTCTAAGTGCTACTGCACAATTCATGAATGAATTACTAAATCCAACACTGATGACGCTTTTGATTCCTACATCCAATCAAACTGACATCTGTGTTTTCATCGAACGTTTTGCAACTACACTAACTTAACGTAAACTGTCCTTGAATTAGACATTCTATTTATAATCAGAGTCAATGACTGAATTACTGCAGTTATAAAAGACTTTAACATTAAACATGGAAGTATCTTCTGATTGATCAGACAGACATAATGTTCATTCAGAATCAGACTGTTCATTTATAGAGAGAAATTAAATGTTATATTAAGTTTCATGCCATTGAGAGGGATTTCTTCTTAGGTGTAGTTCAAATTGTTCTCTACCATCTACACTTTTATAATGCTTCTTATTTCTCAGTGATTTTGAGAATCATTTGATGAATTGAATGAAACTAACATAATCCTGTTAAAAGCTCTTAGTTGGTGATCCTTTCTCGTCCTATAATGTATACGACGGAACTGGGAACCGTTTATTTTGGTGATCGAAGTACGTAAGTGTTTATGTGAAGAAAAAATGCATTATATAAATGTGACAGCAAAAATAGTTAAATGAATACTGTCCAATTACATGTATACTATTGACTTCCAATAAAGTTACATAATTCCTTATACACCGTTACAATCTCCACATTATAACTTTAAATGATTTCTGTCTTGGCATAGACAGTGAGTGAATAACATTGATTACATATTAATAATGAATAAATATTTACGTCGAGTTACAAAATATTACTAACCTTCCGAAATTTCTCCCAACAATACAATGCCATGTAGGATTGTATTTCCTGTCAAATTCTTTCTTAATGAATGCTGCTATATCTTTTTCCACACTATATTTCTCTAAAGCTTGTACAGCACAATCAACAGCCTCTTGTTGCATATCATCTGACATATCGGCATTTTTCACTACTGCTTTATGTTCAGACATCATTATTCTCTAAAGATTTTTAATATGTATGCGAATGAATTGAGTAGCCGTTTACTACCTTGTATTAATTTCTAATTCCAAAACAGACACTATTTATATCAACAAGAGTGTCATACTTTTGACCTTATTATAAATGCAATGAAGTAAGAAAATGAGAGTTTAGTAGCTTGGCTTCAGATATAAAATATGTGTGTAGGTATATATATAAGTAGTGGCACAGATTTTAATTGGCTCATGCATAATCTTGACGTGCATGTCTTATCACTCTGTTTTAAATCACCGTCATTACAACTACAACAATATCAATGATGAGAATAATGGTAATGAAAGAAAGTTACTAATCTGTATGCAATATCCTTTCCTTATTAAAATAGTAGCGTATACTTTCCTGACAATTTTAACAAAAGTGTTTGAAGTGACTCAACATAATAGGAAGTAATTGTTCACGCCTAATGGTGAATTTCGTTCAAATTAAATAGATCTAGACAAACTATTTTATTAAGTAGTGATCATAACTAACTGAGAGAGGTTCTTGCGAGAGACTGTGACTAGTGGAGTTTAATCAAAATGGGAGTATTGTAATCGTCATTTGTGGACTTCAACATTCCATCGAACCCTTGTTTTTTATGTTTCATTAATCCTATTGCTCAATGACACTTTCGCATTCTCAGTAGTTATTTAATTTAGAACTATAACCATCTTCCTCATCTATCTATCTATCTATCTATCTATCTATCTATCTATCTATCTATCTATCTATCTATCTATCTATCTATCTATCTATCTATCTATCTATCTACTATCTATCTATCTATCTATCTATCTATCTATCTATCTATCTATCTATCTATCTATCTATCTATCTATCTGTCTATCTATCTATATATCTATCTATCTATCATTCAATCAACCTATCTTTCTATCTATCTATCTATCTATCTGTCAGTTGTGAAATTAATAATGATAATTATAGTTTTATTTAAAAATTCTTACGAATATAGTATGTGGTAAGAACGACACTGTCAGAATGATTTAACTTGAAATGCATGTGAACTGATAACAAATGGTACAGTGTGGAGATCCATCGAACTGTTCACTGACAGTTAAAACATGTCATTATATCAAAACTAAAGCTTTTGCAAAACCGTTTAACACATCAATTGTATTATAAAATAACTTTGCACTAAGGTGCATCGGTTTTGAGGAATAATAATTGTGTTTTGTATGCAGTCGTGTGTATCTATCTATCCATGCATGCATCCATTTTAATACATCATAAATTGAAGAAAGTCACTAGAATGATTTTTAGTAAGTTGAGGAATGACAATGTAGATTACTAGTCGGTAACAGTGATAATACTAAGTTTCGATGTTATTCGCGGTCGCGCAACGTATGCCATAAGAATGGAAGTGATCTATGTTTGATTTTCGCGTTACAGTTTGAATTTTAGTGAATTTTGTAATCCAAGTAAATGCTTTTCTATAAAAGTAGAACTAAACTACTTGATTTATTATTCAGTAGATGAATTTACAAGGTTGATTTACCAACGCCACAAAACAATATTTTAATCGATGAAATTGATTGTTCTGAGCCATCATTTGCATAAACATTTAATTAGATTTGACAATCATAGTTAAACGACATCCTCGTATCTCTTATTCTAAATATAAAGTGAGCAAGGATAATAGTTAGAGGTGATTCGTCATAGTGGTTGTATATAATTTATGTTGACGTATTGATTTAATGTGTAAATCGTGATATTTTGTTTATGTTGGTAGGTATCACTTTTTGAATAAATCCGAAAGGTGCACAGATTTATGATAACACATTCTTACCTTCAAATCTTCCAATCTCCTTCATTACAGAGTTCATGGATGTGGATATATCTATGATCCATTTTGGATATAATGGAAATATTAGGACACCATATATACTAAATCGTACAACATGTAACTCACTGTAATTCTGCAATACTCAAGATCTTCAGGTGTATGAGGTAACGTTATATAGTGATATCACAGAATGTTCATTCTATTTTTTACATTTGTAACGTCAAACAGCTTCAGGTCTATCAAGACTGCTATATAGTATGATCGGCTCTGAGCAGCTCATTGGTTCAGTAGAACTCTGACAACCATCTCAATAAAAGTCATTTGAGAGGATATATTTATTTAACATTTGTACTATTTGCTAACACTAATGTTTATCAACAATGTACAAGTATACTGAGATGAAATAATGTGGATCGTGCTTTTCAGAAATATATAATACAAAGATTACATGATCAACACAGTTCCAATTAATTAAGATAAAGTGCTAGAATTTAGTAATATTCCTGAAGAAGTTCAGGTTACGTACCCTAATTAATCTTCCTTTAAGCAGATTGGAAATAGGAATTATATCTTGAGGCTTGAAGACTCTATGAATAACACGATAGCATAAATACAAAAGACATTAGTCACTCAATAGCGATCAATCAACTAAAAATATATCAGTTGTACAGAACCTCAGTTCCATCTGATTAACACAGTAATAACATCTCAAAATATGGAGATGAGTGTCACGGCATCAAACTCATCACGATCAATCCATTCCCTCAGCATTACAGGTTCGTTTTGCTAGAGAGTCCCATTCGGCACCAAATCTAGCTTCAGTGTTTCTTGTCAACCACCTCGAATCACCAAACATCTCAATACTAATGAAGTGCTACCAACTACGTTTGAGTTTGCATGCATTTGTACGGACAAACAATTGACAGAGATTAAGTTGTACTGTTCTAAACGGCATCTCACTGTTGGAACACAGTGAATATTGGAAGACGTGTTACCTTTAATTAGTTTTTAAAGAGTTATTATTCATATTTACATTGCATAATAGTTAAATGGCTGGACCGTTGTATTTTATATTTCTCTTATTTTAAACTTCCAGTAGACTCATAAACACTGTTATAAATTTTACTAATTTTGAGTGATTGCTAATTAAATATCGACCGGTTGCTCCTATTTTCATCACTTTTACCTTGGATGTGGATGAACTGAAATTTCATATTCGTGATATACTGTGCTTCAATCGCTACAGTTTCATAAACTAGTGATTTAATGTATATTACTCTACAATCAGGGACAAAGAACGAAATACTGTGACTACAATTCTCCTAATCAATTAATTCAATTTCCACACTTCGTCAACATCCAATAGTATTGATGTTGACAGCCGACATGATGTAAAGTGTTTACGATGACTGGTGTAGCTATTATTTACTTTCAATGATCCAACATCCAACATCATATAACGATATCGATACACCTAGGTTACTGACTATCTTCCACATCAATGATTGAGTGATCAAGACCACAGAAGAAGATTGTAACAAGAAAGTGATTTGGTATTTATCAACCAATCTGTATACTTGATCAGATTCTGTTTGATAATCAATCACATCATTAAGTATGGTTTTATCACTGAATAAGGTGAGCTCGAATGAAAACATGATGCATCGGTTCAGTGTCAGTTCTCTTCTACATTCAGTTACTTTCCACATTCTCTTATTACTGGTCAAATTATGTGTAATTGTGCATAACTTCTCTTCACTTATGTTTCTGCTCTCTTTTATGTTAGCCTTAATTTCTTTCTGATGGTTTGTCGCTCTTCAATACGGAATGAGGTGCGAGCTGAAGCTTATATACTAGTGTCCAATATTACATGTTCCTTCTAATCACTTGTAGCTACAATGTTGAAAT